ACGCTAGTGCTGAATATGAACTGGGGTGTTTCGGGCAGCATTTGCTGGTGCTGCATGGCAGGACAGCATCAAGTCTGCCTGTTCGGAACCAAGGCTGCGGTGACGTCACACAATGCAACACGGGCGGGCGCTGCCAGGCACCCCTCGGGTTCACTATGTATGTACTGCGTTGTTTACATATTATTATCTAGAAATATATAATATATTAAATCTATGGATATAGAATGTGTTTCTAGATTTATATGTTATTATACGTTTACCGAATTATATTATTTCTAAATTAATGTTTTTGTTGTCGTTGCATGTTCAGAAACCAACCCTGACACTGTTGCTCACCCTCCGTCGCCACCCACAGTCGAAGAGGTTCAGGTCCAGCCAACCCAACTCCGCAGGGATTTTAACAGGCTGGAGCCAGTGCCACTCAAACCTCGAACAGGGAAGCGATCGCTGTTACCCAGCGAAGGCTCCATGCCGCAGGGTCCGAGCTAGGCACGGGACCAGAAAAGCCAAACCCTCAGAGATGGAGCCACTTCCTCCTGCTCAACAGCACCCCAGGCGGAGTCTGAGTCTTCCCTGGAAATTCATCTCCACCAGGGAGAGTCCTGGGACAGTGCTGTGACCCTAGCAGACCCTGGACAATGGCCACAGAGCAGCAGGGGCCTGCCCACACCGGGAAAGGCTGCTGGAGTTGGGTGGCAAAGCCTCACGTTTCCTGCGGGTCAACACTTGGGTAAAACCGCTGTTGTAGCAGTCATACGGAGGCTGGGGATACAGGGGGCATCAGGGGAGCTGGAAAACCACGATGACCAGATGGGAGGAAGGAGAGGGCGCTAAGCCAGTTCTGGCAGGCGAGCTGGCTGCCCCAAGTCCCTCTTCCTGGGGAATGTTCGCAAGGCACTGCTGCCTTTTGCGTATTCTTATTTCTAATGCAGCCAATTATAACAGGCTTCATTGAGAATAAAAAAAAACAAAAACAAAAACAAACAAAACAAAACAAAAAACACGTTTCCAAACAGCCTCCACTTGTTCCAGAAAGGGCCCCACCCCACAGACCACGAGCTTTATAAAATAACCAAGAAAATCAGCAGTTTAATGTGTTTGCAGCTGATAGAGTAGTTACGAGAACGAAGAGAGAACAGACCGCAGAACGGCTATAGCAGGGCCCACCAGGGTCCAAGACCACCACACCTGCACGGTCCACAGCAGCCACAGCAGCCAGGGCCAACTGCCAACAGACCATCAAGCGCAACAGCTAGCGAACAAACCAAAGCTCAAAGCGTGACCGCCCCCCTCCCCCCGAACTGGAGAGCATCAGGTGGGCGGCGCGCGAGCATCTCCCCAGTTGGACATACGCAGAAGTGTTGCGATAGGCCCAAAGACCGAGCCAATCAGAGTAGAAATCTCTCCGGTCTTTCTTTAGTTTCTACCATCCTATAAAAAGCCCCTTGGATCCTCTCCCGAGCTCTTGCTTTCTGCAACACAGCTTTAATCTTCTCCTTTAAGCCGCATCTCCCTTCTAAGCGTACCCTTCTTGTCTGTGAATTTCTTTTGAGTTTGTGAGACAAGGGCCCAAAGCGGAGCCACTGACTCATTTGAAGCTCTGAGTGACCCTTTTCGTCCGGCGCTCTAACTCCTAAATTATGTATATCTATTATGAGAACGCTTGCTCTCAGGGACACTCCCTTTCCTGGTCCATTATTGAGTGCTACCTGGCAATAAGGGCTCCCTAAGCGTAATTTCTAGAGAAGAGAGTGCCTTAGGCATGCACGCGCGTGTACACACACACACACACACACACACACACACACACACACACACACACCGAGAGAGGTGAAGGGGAGATTCCACTGGATCACAGAAAACTTGCTAGTATCAAAGGAACTAACATAAAAACCACACATAGGCTAGAAAATCCATAGTATTAGTAAAAATGACTGTGTTGTTGTTAATCTTGCTTGTCACATTAACTAGATCAAGTAGGAGGCAGACATGCCCGGCAAGCCTGGGAGGGATATGCAAGACGAGAAGACCCAGCCTGATGGCAGCACGGATGAAGGCGGTCTGGAAACCAAGAAGCTTTTACTTTTTGCCTGCTGGCCCCTGCTTTTAAGAGCAAAGTCCTCCACCCCACCACTGCCATCACTGCTGTTGGATTCCTTTGCTAATACCAAAACCCAGCTCCTTCATTCAGGCTTCCAGCATGGACTGAAGACCAGTGGAACACGGAATCCCCTGAGCCTTCAGGACCAGGCTGGGGCTGCCGAGACACCCAGCCTCACACACTGCACAGCTGACAGGTTCGCAGCCTCCCCGGTGTGATGACAGCTTACAACAGACTACCAAGACAGTCGTATAAACCAGAGCGAGAAGAACCCAAGACTGCATCTCAACCACTGCCTCCAGCCAGGAGCGGTGTCTGAGGCCAGGAAGGCGCTCCATGATCACACCCATCTCAGCACGCTAGATTCAAAAAATCAAGTCACATGTCGAAGCCACTTCCTACTATCCACTGGAGTCATGATCAAACGGTCAAAAATACCAGTAGAAAATACCACACGGACAAGACCAGAGGAACATCCATCTGTCCTATTTTAGCGCCTGAGACGGCACCGGCCATCTGTCTTGGTGCTCCTTCCAAGTTGGAGGAAGAAACTTCTCCGTTCTGTTCAACTCAAACTCTTCAAGCGGAGCCTCAAGACCATTTTCAACACATTCCATTTCCAAACAGTTTGGAGTAAAGCTATTTATCATCTGGGTGATGGGACAGTATCAAGGCACGGGGTTTCGGGGAACAGTGAGTGATGGAGTTATAAAAGAGAGAGCATCTAGAGGCCTTCAGGTGTGGCTGGGTCCAGGACTCTGCCGTTCGTCGGGCCCCTCCGCTTTCAGACAAGCTTTATGACTCGTAAAAGAACAGCAGACTGACGCCATCACCATCTAGAACTGGCCCCTCTACCACAGTGACCGTGACGGAGGAGAACACTACCGTCACAGAATTTTCCTTACAGTGGACAGGAGATGCTATGGTTTGATTATGATTTGAGTGTTTGTCCCCCCCCCCCCAATTCACGCCATAGGAGCCTGACCCTATGTGACTGTGTTAGGGCAGTGGGGCCTAATGTCAAGTAATTCTTGGAGCATCACACCTACAAGGGTCTAAGGCAGGGCTCGAGGGGCCTCGGGCGCTAGAGCTGTTTTAAAAAGAACAAACCTGACTCCTGGACCTGTCTGGCACGCTGTGGGATCACTTCCTCTGTCACCCTGCCACAACTCCATCTACCGTGCTGTGAGGAGCATGGGGGTCTTGTCTAGAGGTGCAACTGAGGGTGTGGCGTGACCCTGGATATCTAGCCTCTGTGACTGTGAGCGCAATTACATTTCTTTGGGGGGAGAAAAGCACCCTCTGGGGGTATTTTGTTATAGAACTAATGTAGGGATGTTAGAAGATGAAAGTTTAAAAATGCCTGAAATAAAAAAAAAAAAAAAGTATTATCTTCCATAACATAAGGCCATACTTTTATGCCATTATTAAAGGCAGCTTTCTCATCTCCGTGCTGGTAAACACACAACTTTCACCCTGGTCTCACACAAACCTGCCTGTGAGTTTGGGTTCAGCTGTTTCGTGCATCGGAGTGATGGCATGATACTCCTGCAACTTGCCTTCAGCTATAGCGTACCGTCCACTCTCCATTTCTTAAACAAAACACCCATTTTAGATCATTTTGTGGTGGTTTAAACAGCCTTCCTGGTCTCCTTCCAATAGGATGTTAGTAAAACACTGCAAACCCGGGGCACCTATGGGTCAGTTAAATAGTACTCCTTTAATGTCCATTTCTAGGTTATTTATCATTCAACCTGGTAACCATGAAGGCTTTGAGACCAAGTCTTTTGAGGAGTCAGGGGGTGTGGTCTGACAGAAAGTCTTAACCTATTTCCCTGGGGAAGTGAAGAATTAACCCTTAGAGCCCCCCAGGCTGGATGCTTTCGGTAAAAGCCAATCTTGAATGAAAGTGAAACTAACTTGAATCCCGTGGCTCTCTCTTGAAAACACTGGAACCGGTCCACAAACAGGTTACCACAATACGCTGGCCCATCACCCATAGCCAAAAACTCAGGCTGGGAGTTTTCACTACATTTAAGGGTGCCTGGGGGGAGGGGGTAATCATTTCAGCTTTTAAGTAGTTTAACCAGTCACGTGCCCTGCTCCAGCTGTCTCCCCAATATTGCCTCATTTTTATTGCTTCCCTATCCCTTCTACCGTAGTTACCATGTTTTGTAGGGACAGTAATTTATTTATTTTAATCCGCATACAACGGCCAAATGGATCATTTGGCTCAATCAAATCCCGTCGCTGAAGCCTTAAACAAAAACGGATTTGTAATCGTACAGCTCACCGGCCTCAAGCTCTCTGCCTCATTTTCCCATGGCCTTGTCCAGCTTGCACCTTCCCAGCATGCTAGCTCAGACTACTGGAGCCTGGTGGCTGCGTGGCCTCTAGGGGCCAAGTCCTCCTACGTAGCCAACCTTTCCGATTAATCCTAGTCCCGGAGCCGCCAGCATGACTCCGGATTTTTGTTTATTTATTTTATTTTATTTTTTTTAAGGCTAATGCCCTTATCTTTGCACTCCAGCCGGAAGGTCTGCTCAGCCTTCTTTCCTGCCCCTTTGCTTCTAGAATTGGGCCCGGTGCCTCGGGCCGCCTTCTCCGAGTTAGGAAAGGGGCTCGAACTTTCCCAGGGAACCGAGGGGCGTCCCCGCGGCGCCCTCGCACCCCCACCCCCCGCCAAGCCCCGGTGGTGCCGGAGGGAACGCGCCGCGGCCCTCGCTCCTGTCCTCCTCCTCCTCCTCCAAACCCGGGCGGGGACCCCGGCAAGCACCCGGGGCACAGCGCCCGCCAGGCCCCTCGCCCCAGCCCCTGAGCCGGGCTCCGAGGTCGGGGTGGGGTGCCACCTGCGGGCCACCGCGCGCGGGGCTCCCCGGCAGACTGGGCGGCTCCCTACCGGGCTGGGCGGCTCCCCCGCGGGTGCGGGGCGAGGGGCGCGGGGCCTGGGGGTGCAGAGTCGCAGGCCTCGCCGCGGTCCCACCCGGCCGAGAGGCGGCGCGGAGCCCGCACGGGGCCGCCTCTGCGATTGGCTGCGCCCCCCCTGCTCCGCCCGCCGCGGCGCCCGAGGAGCGAGGACGCGGGGACCCGCCTCCCGCCCGCTCCCGACCCCGGGCGCGCGGGATAAAAGGCGGGCGGCGGGCGCGGGAGCCCGGGCCCTGCAGCCTGCGAGCGCCACCGGCGGGCCGGGTGCACCCGCCGCCCACCCCGCTCCCGGCGCGGCCGAGCTCCGGTGATACCTGCAGCCGCCGAGCGCAGCAGAGCCGGGGATGCCGCGCCGCCGCCTCGAAACTCGCCAAAGTTGAGAGGCTGCCGCCCACCGGGAGCAGGAGGGAAGGTGCGAGCGCGCGGGGCGCGGACCGACTGACGGACGCGCGGACCCTCCGAGCGCACCGCCGTCGGCGGCCTCTGCCGAGCCGCGGCGGCTTCCCAGCGCTGTGAGTGGTCCGCTAGACCGACGGCTGGCTAAGTATTTCCGTTCAATTGTTTATGGGATGCGATTGTGTGTTTGTGTGTGTGTGTGTCGGTGGAGGAAGTTAGGGCAGGAGGCATCCTTTAAACAAACAAACAAGCAAAGCCCCCTGAGCTCCTGATAGTGAGACGGTTGCATTGAGACAAGGTACCTGGAAAGCTTACTGAGTTGGAGGATGGAGGAACCTAGGGGGAAAAAATGCATTTAACAGGTTCTTTTTTTTTTTTTTTTTTTTTTTAAAAAGGCTACCCTGTTGGCAATGAAAAGGAAACCATTTCAAAAGTTAAATGGAACGAAAGTAAATAGTACGGAAGGGTTAACTAGTGGCAGTTAACTTGTGCTTTCCTCCCTTTTTAAATATTGTCAGCAGATTGGTGGGAGGCTGAGCTGGTGAGAAGCGACCGGGAGAGGCTCAGAGACAACCATAATGTGGTTGAGGCTCCACACACTGCCCACCCTGACTGGAGCTGTCAAACCGGGTTGCAGAGAGCTGCTGTGCTTGTTGCTCATCGCCGCGATGGTGAGCCCCAGCGCCTCAGGAGCCTGCCCCTCTGCTTGCATCTGCGCCACGGACATCGTCAGCTGCACCAACAAAAACCTGTCCAAGGTGCCTGGGAACCTCTTCAGACTGATGAGAAGACTGGATCTGAGCTATAACAGGATTGGACTGCTGGATGCCGACTGGATTCCCGCGTCCTTGGTCAAGCTCAGCACCCTGATCCTAAGGCACAACAACATCAGCAGCATCTCCGTGGGCAGTTTCTCCACAACTCCAAATTTAAAGTGTCTTGACTTATCGTCCAACAGGCTGAGGTCGGTGAAAAGTGCCATGTTCCAGGAGCTGAGGCTGCTGGAAGTGCTCCTCCTTTACAACAATCACATCTCCTCTCTGGACCCGGCAGCGTTCGGCGGCCTCTCCCACTTGCAGAAGCTCTACCTGAGTGGGAACTTCCTCACACAGTTTCCTATGGATCTGTATGTCGGGAGGTTCAAGCTGCCCGATCTGACCTTTTTAGATGTTTCTTATAACCGAATCCCTTCCATACCAATGCACCACATAAATTTAGTGCCGGGGAGACAGCTGAGAGGCATCTACCTCCACGGGAACCCGTTCGTCTGTGACTGTGCCCTCTACTCCTTGCTGATCTTCTGGTACCGCAGGCACTTCAGCTCCGTGATGGATTTTAAGAATGACTACACCTGCCGCCTGTGGTCGGACTCCAGGCACAACCGTCAGCTGTCCCTGCTCCAGGACAGCTTTCTGAACTGTTCCTACAGCGTCATCAACGGGTCCTTCCATGCGCTTGGCTTCATCCACGAGGCTCAGGTTGGGGAGAGAGCGATCGTCCACTGTGACAGCAAGACTGGCAATGGAAATACCGATTTCATCTGGGTGGGTCCCGATAACAGACTGCTGGAGCCAGATAAAGACACGGGAAACTTTCGTGTGCTTTACAATGGAAGTCTGGTCATAGAGAACCCTGGTTTTGAGGATGCTGGAATTTATTCTTGTATTGCAATGAATAGGCAGCGCCTGTTGAATGAAACTGTGGATATCATGATAAATGTGAGCAATTTCACCATCAGCAGATCCCATGCTCACGAGGCATTTAACACGGCTTTTACCACCCTCGCCGCCTGCGTGGCCAGTATAGTCCTGGTACTGCTGTATCTGTACCTGACACCGTGCCCATGCAAATGTAAAGCCAAGAGACAGAAAACCATGCTGACCCAAAGCAATGCCCACTCCTCCATCCTCAGCCCGGGCCCCGCTGGCGAAGCCTCTGCTGATGACCGGAAGGCAGGTAAAAGAGTGGTGTTTTTGGAGCCCCTGAAGGATACTGCAGCGGGACAGAACGGGAAAGTCAAGCTTTTCCCCAGTGAGGCCGTGATAGCCGAGGGCATCCTGAAGTCCCCGAGGGCGAAATCGGACTCAGACTCGGTCAATTCTGTGTTCTCAGACACACCCTTTGTGGCCTCCACCTAACCGTGTTGCCTGTGTCTGTCCCGTGTCGTGGTTCACTCTCTCCCTGTTTAACTTCGTGTGGTCCCACAAAATCAACAGCAGGACAGAAACTGTTTTGTCTTTTGAGAGAAAACCAAATGGTGTCTTAAGATGGTTGCTAGGAAGTGAAGCCGAGCACACTGGTTGCTCACTGTGCTGGGGAAAGATGTGGTTGATTTTGAGAGTTCAAGTTCTGGATAGCAGCTTCAGCTTAGCTTTCAGCGATGCTGCTGATGCCAAGGCTGGCCTGAAGGCAGTGTGACTGGCCATTATCCCTCTATTCAGTTACCTTAAAGGAAAAGCAAAGCTATATGCTGGCACTCTTTAAAAATAGACTCTGTTGTCTTACTAGAACCAAAGTTGAGCTTTTTTTAAAAAAAACATTTTTTTTTTTTAAGAAAAACACTAGTGGCTTCTTTTATTTTTAAAAGAGGCGGAAGGGAAGAAATGGTTATTTATAAAGCATTAAGTTGGCATAGAGGCTTTTCAGCCAAAATCACCATTTCAGACCAGAATGGACAGACTCTAACAACATCCACAGCTGTGCCACATCCTACGTAGTGCAAAGCAAGTTGTGCAGAAAGGTGTCGTTGTTTAGCTGTCTTCCTTCTCCGCGTTCTCTCTGCTGTATCCAGGTACAAATGATCTCACTATTTGTTGTCACGAACATGTGTCATACCAAGATGTCCAGGTAACCCCCTGCTTGTGTATATGTGAAACCCAAGTTATATGACCTGCTAAATAGACCCCGATGTACTGTGCTTTAGACCTTTAAATCAGCGTAAATACATGTGCTCTGTGACCTGACGTCTGAGTTGCCTGTTTACAAATGCAGTCCAAGATGTTTTATGTGACTAGATGGTACAGCAAATGCTTCTTCAAAGTTATTGTTATTACAAAGGGACTTTATCTTTTAGTGTGTGTGGGGGGCGGAGAGCCAGCTTTAATATGCTCTGATCAGATTGTCACTCTGCATCATGGTGTATGACTCTGATATAATGCATTCCAGCCAGGTTTGGAAGACACTTAAATTCTAGTTTTAGGTCAAGTGAGTGCCCGGGAGACCTGATTATTCTCATATCTGCCAAGAGGTAATCATGTGCCTCTCTTGGCACTAAAATGGAGGGCTCAGACCAATTGATGCTTCAAGTTCCTTCCCATATTAGCATCTGGTTTCCCTGTAGCCCCGTACTACCATATAGGAGGGGAAATAGGGGTGGGGTTAAGATGGGCTTGCACTATAGTTTACAGGTGCTTGAATGAAGGAGGCTCAGAGAGAATCATGGGTCGTGTATGACCAAACAGTGAGCAAATGACAGGAGCAAAGGAAATCCCAGGCTCAGTGTGCTCCCTGGGGAAGACGGGATCCAGAGGACCTACCACCTTTAGACACCCATGGGCATGGAGAAGGGATAAAATCAGACAAGAGTAACCGAAGGCAGGGAAGAAGCGGCTAGGCATCTTCTACGGAAAGTTGGGCATGGTCAACAGTGGCACCTTACAGACGCAGATGAGGATGGAAGGTGGGTGGTACCAGTGGTCACTTATTGGGGACACAGTTGGCAATAGTGGACGCTTGACGGCTGCCTGCGTGCTGTCGGGGATTCTCTGTAGCAGACTGGTCAGCAGGGGGTTAAGGAGCAAGTGGTCACAAGGCCCTTCCCCAGGGGATAGAATGCAGAGCTGGAACTCCGTATAGGAATGTGACCATTATCACGCAGCATTTAAAGTGACCTCACAGCTTCTTAAATCCCCCACCCTGTACAGAGTCCTTCAGAGCCACATTGCCTGCCAACATTTTATAGTAGTTGCAGCCATCTAAGTATTAGAAGGTGCATGGACCTGGTATGACCTCGGGGGGCCATCTTTTCTTCCTTCGTATTTAGAGAAACCCCAACTCGGGCGGTGCTATGATTAGTTAGGATCATAGGAGCCCCGAAGGTAAGGGCATGGCTGTGCTGCCTCAGGGGTGTGATGAGACTACCGCCCCTTCAGCAATGTAACTGAAGTGGGTCCCTAAGTGGCTTCTCATCTGGATGCGACCCCTAAGGCCTTCCGGCCGCTGACCCCTAGGAACTAAGTATTTGTCTTGACAGAGAAACGGGGCGGTGCTGGGAGTGAGGTGGTGATGGCGTTCAACCACAGCTGCTTCTACTGCTTAGGTGCCAGGGCAGGGCAGGATAAACTTAGGCAGAAACCAAGGTAACTTTTAAACAGAACAAAACAACGAAATATCCTGAGTATTCAAAACTCTTGTTTTTCAAGCAAACGCAGGGACCAAAAAGATGGTGATAAATCCTGGAGCTGAATGTTGTGGTATGGAGTTCTAAGTGTCTGGGCATATCAATCTTTAAGCAGGAGCCTGCGCTCATGCATTTTAAGTACAGGAGCAAAATTAATGTGTGCTTTGTAAGTTTACCTCACTCGATACTTTTACATAATTTTCCTTCCAAGCACTAACCTGGGCTTACGCAACTGGGTTATTCTTT